CTGTCCGAATGACACTTCCTACCATCATGACCAAGTTGCGAAAACAAGGTCAAACAACTTCTATGCAACGAAACGAGACTGCGACCACACAAAACGGCCACACCATCTTGGCCTTCATATCTTGGATTATTTATGTTTCTTAGCCTCACTTTCGATTCTCCGTTTTCAGCATCACCACGAAGAAACGCGTCGCCTTCGTGACGCGGAAGAGCGTCTGCTTGTATCTGCCTGGTACCACCTGGGTTTGCGTCTTGATCGCGAGGCTGCAGATCAACGCATCCGCGGAAACCTTCCCAGGGGTCAAAATTTGGCCATGGGTCCTAGTTTGGACTTAACTCATGACCCGGCAGTAACAACGACTGACAAAACGATTCCATCCAGTGGAATTGATGGTTCTCAGGGTGCCGATTACAATATCGGCTACGGTCCAGATATTTCATTTATCTCTATGCAACGACGTACCCATCTCCGGCATTCGTACCGGCCTACTTCTCAAGCCCCTCCATCCTTGCCGCTGTCTTCATCCTCCTTGGCCGGACATAAAACGACCGACTCTAAATTGGCCCCTTGTCGATAATGTGCTCGCTCATTGACTGATTTTAAGGTCCGTAAGTCTTCACTAAGCGATGAGTTATAGGCGACTATTCCTGACTAGCCTTATCATGTAGAACACCGTCACCATTTCAGATCTGGTGAGGAGAATAATATTTTAAATAGGCTTTCAGAGTTGCTTTCACCGCCTGCTGTGTAAATCATTGACAATAATTTTGTACGAGGGGACCGACCTTCTAAAGCGCATGCATAAATCTACTGCATGTCATTGGACATCTTGAAAGGCTTGATTCGTTCTTCAAATTTATATTATTAATTAAGCAGTCATTGAAGTCCTCATGTTAATGGACGATGCATAACCTAGTTTTATTTATCCAGACTTAATTACTCTATTGTGTGATATTATTGTCAGGCCAAATTATTTGACTTTATAAATGACCTGGCATTACGAGTATTGACTTATGTAAGCATTGTTGCATTTGATGGATTCACTTTCATGTTTTGCCTAAATGGCTATTTACACACCGGTTAGGTAAAATATACACATAATTTTAGCTCTCTCTAATCATCTTGTTTTTCGCTATCTCTAAAAACTCAAACTTGTCTATTGCTAAATGTGTCTTTTCAGCCTACATATCTTTTTTTACATATCCTTATTCCATGACTGTGGACACGCAATCATGGTTAATGTGATTTACTGCCTAACTCTTCATTTTGTGCAGCTTTACTAGCTGCTGATTCACACATTCATATATATATATATATATATATGAATAAATCCAGGAACCAAAAATAATTTTTTCTATTTTAAATCCGTCTAA